AAATCTCCCTAATAAGACACAGAGTGAAGAAATTACAGCAGTTTTAATCCCCTACTACTCTCTCCAAAAGTAAAAAAAAATAATGTTTTTAAATAAAGTTTAAGCGAATGTAGGTGTAAAAGACACCTCTGTCCTTGCTGTGTCTTGAATGTGTCACTGCCAATGGTTGTATGGCATGCTTAGAGATGCAGATGAAGGTTTATGGAACATAAAGGTTCACTTTAAAAGGGATGGTTTCACTCTAACCAACCTCCACCTTTGCTCCTCAAAGGTGAACTGGCCTGGGTTCTATGCAACAAGATGTCTTTAGGCATGAAAAGGCAGAGCCCTGAGCTGTTCCACCTTTACTGGTATCATTACGTTCTAGCACAGTAACCTATGAAACCCAATAGGCCTCTGAGTCAGAACTGCATTGTGCCAGAGATGACAAAGGACACAACACATGACCAAGAACGTGAACAATGACCAAGAAGAGGAGGACACCAGTTGATCGCTTTAGATGGTAAATAGAGGGGGTTTTCACACAAAAAAAAAGACCATGAAGAATTTCAGGTGGCACGGCTCTTTTACATAAACTTGTGTTTTGCCAAAGCACTTTAATGCTACCACATTCTATTTGCTCCCCTGCCCTCCATTTGCCACTAGGAGCAAAGAGAAATACCCAGTGCCTCCTAGGTGTGGGGATCTTAGGACTAACTCCCCTTCTTTCTACATGACAGCATTGGTGCTTGTGGTTTGTTCGCTCAGGCACCCAGTGCTATCCCAATAAGTTTGGTTGGGAGTCCTCAGCCCTGTGTTAGCTCCAACTAGAATTGACTTGGTGTTTACAAAGGACTTTTTCTCCTCTCTCCTGGCAGTGAATAGAGCAACAGGGAAGAGATAGATGACCCTGTGAAGGTCAGCTTCAAAAATGCAAAGTACAGATACATAAGTCAAGGAACACTGCACAAATATTAAAAACTCATTATCAAATTTTCTTTTATCTACCACACCATTACCACAACATTAACATAACAGAAAAAAAAATATGTTGAGCTAACAAAAGGAAGATGCAGCTTGTTGTGCTGCAGATTAAAAGATAACACCATCTGGTGCTTACACAATGGGAACTACAAAATGCTGCTTGCAGAGTTTTTTTCACATTGATCCCAGTTTTTATATGTTGTCTAATTTGGATTTCCAATGAAAGTTTGTACAGTCATCTCCTTACCAGCTCTGTTGTGTTTTCCCATTGGAAATGTCCTTCTGCAGATCTAAAAATTCTACAGGATTGGACATTTTTTTATACCAGAGATGGAGATTAGATATAAAAGCGGAGGAAGAACAGGTGTTGCCCATATCAGTGTTTCTCAACTTTACTAAACCACGAAGCAGTGTTTATTTTCTTCTTTATTTTATTTTTTTATTACCTTTTATATATAGTACTCCTCAGCAGAGTGGCAAGGTATAATTTCATTTCAAGGTCTGGTTACGTTGGACAGCAGTCACTTTAGTCTTTTACCTTTTATTGCTGAATTTAATCCTAGGAGAGAGGGTTCAGTGGTGCAGTATACCCGGAAAGAGTATAAAAACAGGATAGACATTCTGTTAGCAGTAGGGGCTATAAGAGTTACCTCTCAAAAATTGCTGGCTCTCTGATCATCAGATCTCTCTCTAATAAATCTGGCTCCTGACTAGTGATGTGCAGGGGCTTGGTGCAAACCCCACCCCCCCCCACACACACGGCCCAATAAACATACCATCCTTACTTTACATTGTTCCCTTAGAGGTATTGCCACTGTGTGAGGACCACCTGTCTTCAGCAATCAAAAAAACAATTGTATCCCAGTGCTTTCCGAACTGTTTTTTTTTTTTACCTTTAGGAAATGTTATATATGTTATTCTTAAACAATATAACAATACAATCCTGGAATTGGACATACACATTACAAAGTCTAAACTTATGAAGTGCAAGTGCCTACCTGATGTGATATAACTTGATTGGATTGCTTGTACATACTGTGCATAATAGATAATAAAGTTTAAGAGATTTTATAATTAGATTGTTATATGTATCGCCAACTTTACTACTACAATGCAGAAAGTTGGAACAGTGGCTGCTTAGTATAAAGTCTATAAAGACTATAGAGGGCATGGTGGCCTACCAGTTATCATTATGCTGGACTTCTCTACTCTTTATAAAGATCATTTGCTTGAAGTTTGTACATTTTCCCAATTTTTCTACGGGTTTCCTCCAGGTGCTCCACTTTACACCAACATTTGAAAACCTTACCTGGTCTAGATTTTTAATATTAAATTTTTATTGAAGTATAGTTTTTGTTAAACAGGACAAATACATTTCAGACAAGACAAGTACATTTCAGGTGCAGGCAACCGTTAATAAGCAGGCACATTTCTCTGCCTCTCATCATGATAAAACATTGCTTTACTCATGTGTCTGCACCTTAGAAAACCAAAATCATAAAAGGGTTACCTGATCTAGAGATTGTGCATGACTTCAGCAGATTTTAGACTGCAAGTACTACTGTTTTACAAATTACAATTGAATTAAATAATTTAAAGTCATCCTTTGAGCACTGTAGCATTTAGATTTAAGACATGTGTATCTATGCCAGACTGGCCAACTCTAAATGCTTCCTGTGCCTCACAGGGGTAGAAAGTGAAGGGAAATCTTGCCAATGGACACAGACAGATATAAAATATTGAATACATGAAAGTGTGGAAGCGTAAAACACAAAAGGTTTGAAGTCAGGATCTTTAAAGTTTTGTCCTTTTGACCAATGCATTTCTGTGTCTTCTACAGAGCTCCCTTCTTTAGGGATAATAAGTTTAGCAACCTGTCTAGATGAAAATGGCTGATAGATGTCAACATGAACCGATTATGCTGCTTTGAGAGAAGTCCAGCAGCTGGCATGACATTTGTCCGATAGAGGATATACACTAAATGCAGGACTGTACTGCCTTTAGACCTCTTGTGTTTGGTGCTCCTACACTTCGACTTATTCAAAGTTTTAAAAGCCTTCCTTTGGGAACCCAGTTCATCTTAGTAAAAAGGCTGGAATGAAGCCTAGAAACTTAAAAGGAATTCAACTAGAAGCATTACCTTGATGCAGTGCCACCTTAACCACTACTACATAATAAAAAAAACATGAAAAAAATAATATCTCTTCCCCCCTCTATCCAAATCTAGAAATGAGATTTAGGCTGCAGTTGGGCTTTAAATATGATTTTCTTCCATGAGTCTTTAATCTATACAAGAGATTAGAAGAAAGCAGCTCAGAGTTTACACCGCTTATTAAATTTAGGTCTGTACGTGGAAGGTGAAAAATGCAGTATTGATTTCTTGTAAATTGCTCTTCCGTGAAAAGAAGTGAGCAGTACAACTTTCACCACCAAACAATAGCCCAGAAAAAGAGATGGAGAAAATACCTCTCTACTTCACATCTGTAACTGGGGATTGTGAACAGCTCCTTCAAGAAGACAACAGCACAAAGGAAATGCATCCATGTTGAGAATTAATACAGCATGTACATTCAGCTACCTGAGCAAAAAAAAAAAACCAAGATCGTAAAAGCTGCAGTTTAATCTCCTAATATTTTGCCTTCCCCGGTGCCATTGCTGATCAACCTGCTGCAAAAGAAATCTAGGACTTTCAAAGCTAAGGCTTACTATGAACAGATTGCAGAATGAGTTTGGGGCCCCAAGCAGCTGCTCATTCTACCCCTATTATAATCAACCAAAGGCTCTGTAGAGGTGCTGAAACCATCTCAGAAATTTCACAGATCTTATTCTTGGTGTTCCTGTAGGCTGACTGAGTGGCAAAGGAGCAAGTATCAATAACAAAGAGGGCAGGCTATCACATGAACCTATTAGCCCTGATGGTTTAAGTTGCAGATTTTACTTTTAAGCAGTAAGTTCAGGCAAACAAAAATCATCTCATGATCTCAAACACATGCTCCATACATTTGTCACACCTTGATAATGAACGTGTATAGATGTCACCAGCACACCAAAATGATTGAAGATTCTTGTCATGAAACAGGCGTTTTCTGGGCTGTACATGGTCTGTTCATCAGGCTTAGCATTGACAATGCTAAGCCAGATGAAGGGACCCTGTGTGGCCCCGAAAGCGCTTGTTTCATGACAAGAATCTTCAATAAATGAAATTTTTTTGATCCTGATGAATATCTGGATGAATGAATGAATTAATTCATCCTGATGAATGAACCATTTTTGGTGTGCTGGTGACATCTATACACATTTGCTGACACTGACTGCACTATCCGCAGTCACACAGGACATTTGGTAAGGAGTGCAACAAGCACTATAGACCTTGATAGTGAAGCCGCAACTGTCCTTTATTTACACAATTCTATAACCCTCCCACCTGACTACACTTAAAGATCATAGTAATGGTAATGATTGCTAAAGTTCTTCTACCTTAGTCAACTATCCTCCTCCAGCCTTCTAAGTGGGCAGTAAAGCAGGAGAACACAGATGAGGTCGTCCCTATGTTCCACCTCCTATGAGCATTTTTAGTGTAAGGTTGATGGGCTTTGTGATTTGTAATAGAGTCCTGACTGGCTCAGGGTCCTGGAACTCGCTCTTCCTCTGTAAATGTGCAGGAAATCACAGTAAGCTGATATCAAAATAGGTTCACCTACTTACACTAGCTATATTGTAAACGGCATACTACATAGAGGTTTCTGTGTGATATGTCACATTATGCACATTGTAAAATAACACATTAATTCACCAACTATTCACATCTTTTCATCGCTGAGTATGTTTAATATTATCTACATCCGCTTTTATAAAAAAACGTTTGCCATGTGCCTGAAAATAACCAGATACACCTTTGCATGGTCTACAACTCCCATTTAAGCACCCCCAGACTGTCAGTATTACTCTGATGTTTGACATATCCATCAGGAAAAAATGTTGGTTATCTTTGGAACTATCGCTTACGTTGCCTCATGTCATCATAAACGCTTACTTACTAGGCAGTTGAGAAGTTAGGAACGGTATCTTGATTGGAGAGAAGGTCAGCATATGATATAGAGGAGCTCTGTGTGTGGAAAGGCTTGGTAATGATTCTGCATCCAATCCTATTAATGCCGCAGGTGGTGCACTTACATTACCCGCAATTGCAATGGACTGATTGCTGCTGCTGGCTGGCTTCATTCCATTGCGACAGTTGCCTGTAAAAAGAAGATGTATCGTCAATCTTGGCAGATAGTACTGGGTATGTATATATAAGGCCATGGCCAAAAATATTGGCACCCCTGCATTTCTGTCAGCTAATGCACCACTTTGCGCAGAAAATTGTTGCAATTACAAATGTTTAGGCATTCTCATGTTTATTTCTTTTTTTTTTAATTGGTATGACAGAAAAAAGTGGAGGAAAAAAAAAAGCCAAACCTAACACATTCCACGCGAACTCCAAAAATGGACTGGACAACATTATTGGCACCCTCAATTAATATTTGGTAGCACAGCCCTTGGAAAAAATAACTGAAATCAATTGCTTCCTATAACCATCAGTGAGTTTTATTCACCTCTCCACAGAAAATTTGGACGACTCTTCTTTCGCCAACTGCTCTAGGTCTCTCAGATTGGAAGGGTTCCTTTTCCCAACTGCTGTTTTGAGATCTCCACACAGGAGCTCCATGGGATTCAGAGCTGGACTCATTGCTGGCCAGTCCAGTACTTTCCAATGCTTTGTCTGAAACCATTTCTGGGTGCTTTTTGATGTGTGCTTTGGGTCATTGTCCTGCTGTAAGACCCATGACCTCTGACGGAGATCCAACTTTCTGACACTGGACCCTACATTACGCCCCAGAATTCTTTAGTAGTCTTCAGATTTCATAATGCCATGCACTCAGCCAAGTCATCCAGTGTCTGAAGCCATAAAGCAACCCCAAAAGATCAGTGACCCCCCACCATGTTTGACTGTAGGGACTGTATGTTTTTCTTTAAAGGCCTCATTTCTTTTACTGAAAACAGTAGAATGATGGGGTTTACCAAAAAGCTGTCATTTTTTTCATCAAAAAGCTGTTCATTTTGTTTCATACCAATACAAACAAAAGAAATAAACATGGGAATGCCTAAGCATTTTAAATTGCAACAATTTTGTGCGAAATGTGGTGCGTTATCTGACATAACTGCAGGGGTGCCAATATTTTTGCCATGACTATATATATATACATATATACGTATGTGTATATATATATCATCAAGTATATATTTAAAAAACACTATATCAACAATTCAGCCCTGGGCTTGAGTCCTCCCCACCCCACCACATCGGAGCACTCATGTACCCTTACAAAAAAATTAATATATTTACCTCTTTTCTATGTGTCTCTAGTCCAGTCACATGATGTCACACGTCCTCTCCACCTTCTTCCTCAGGCCAGGGGTGAATCTTTAATTCTATTATTTATTACAGCCATTTATATAGTATACAATTACTCAGTGCTTTACATACTGTACATTAGTCCTTAAGGAACTTGCAATCTAAGGTCCCTATCTCCCTATCTCACATACATAGTAGTGCCATTTTAGACAGGAGCCAATTAGCCTACTCATTGGAGACATGCTGGCAGGTTAGTTGGCTGCACATAATGGCATGGCCTGGGTAGTGCCACTCTCATGTGAGTCTGGGGTAGGAGTGGAGCCTTGACCTCCTGGCCTCACAGAAAGTGGGTTAAATGACCCTGGGTGCAGCATCCCTAGTCAGGTGAGTTTGCAGGGGAACAGCACCGGAGATTAAATATGTATAGCACTGGAGGTACTTTTTTTATTTTTATGAGGGGCCGGGGGCTGGAATGTTTCTTTTTTGTCCCAGACTAGACTTGGGCTTTAAAATACTTCACACGCATGCCTGCATACTGTTATAATCACTATTAAAGTGGATACTTTGTGTATATTGCAGACGTGTATACTGCGGCACACCTGATTGGTCCCTAGTGTTATACCTCCCTTTATCAGTGCTGCTGCAAAGGGCATGGCACATCAAATTGATAAATTCAGTTATTTACATTGGCTGCATTTAAAAATTAAAGAAGAACTACAGGATTTTTTTCAAATCAACCCTTGCAGTGGGGCTGCCTCCACACTTCGAGGGTTAAATGCTCATTTTGGTCTAGTGCGAAAATAAAAATAATATATACTCATCTGATCCTCAGTCCTGCAGCTGTCAGCACTCGCATATCCCCCCTCTGCTCTTGCTGGTTTGTCTCTTGGCATCTTCACATCTAATGGACCTATATAGATGTGATGATGTCACGGGTCCTTAGTCTGCCAGAGCCCTGGGGAGAAGAGGCTGCGGAAACGGGTCTAGCAGACAGACGGGACTGATAGTCAGGTAAGTATGTCTTGTTTATTTTTTCACCTAAACCAAAATGAGCAGTTAACCCTTACAGTGCAGGGGTAGCCCCACAGTAGGGGTTAATTTGGAAAAATGCTGGAGTTCTTTTTTTATATTTTTATTATCTTAGAACTGTTTTTTTATATATATATATGTGTCTGAAGTTCATACTTAACTGTATTCTCTCCTTTTGAAGGCTACACGTCTGTCCTGGAAGTTAGCTATGAGCCCCCACAGAGGCAGTCTTATTTCTTGCCTGATAACACTCTCTCCGGGCTTCTGCTGCGGAAGGATTGTTCATAAAAATGTCAAATAATAAGGATGCTTTCAGTATTACGGTGAGGAAATCTGAAGATTCCGGTCTTTGACAGTTTTATGAACGCTCTCTTGGATGCAGCCTGGCACAGTTCACATAATCTGCACTGGCTAACACGGTATGCCTTATACACCAGAGCGACATAAATATGGGAAATCAACAAATAAGTCACCTGTGGACTGTGGATTACAGGCTAATGCTTGAACATATCACCCTCAATATTTACCGGATACACAACATCTGCAAAATATGAATTTGTTTCTTGTTCTTTCTGCTAAGACTGCTTGTAATGAGACACATCAATCTTCTGTTTCCCAAGCTCATGTAGATCATACTAATTGTTTATGCAACGGAGTCGTTTTTTTTGGATATAATGAAAAAAGCAGAGCTACGTGTAGTGATGATGTACAATGTAGAATTCTAAAGAGGCTAGATTGAGCATTTTACCATTTTGGAACAATCCCAATAATGTAAGATTAAAGCCCAACTCAACCCTTTTCATTTAATACTGTAATACAGTCAGGCTTGAGCAGTGACTAATCAATAGACATGCACGATTCGTTTAGTTCTGAATCAAAATTTCCGTTTCCGAATTTTTGATTCCTTCCGAATTTCGTTCAAAAAATAAATTGAATCGGAAATGTGACTTTTCTGGCCATTTAGATGTGTTTTTCGGTTTAATGAATCCGAATGGGTCTGAATACGAATTTTAGTTACGGCAACATGGGAGCCATATATATATATACGTACATATAATCGTAAAGCTGAGGATCCTAGACCCGACTGGTATTCGGGATCCGATTCTTACCAGCCTGAAGGAATAGCCGAACAGTGTTCGGCTGACTTCACTTCTGATCGGTCATTCACTCGGCTGCCCTCGCCAGCTTTGTGAATAGACCCCTTTGTATTAATATCTGTATATGGTTTTCTGTGCTATTCACAACAAATTTTCGCAAACTCATCCGAAACTAATGAAAATTCAGATTTTATCCGGAACCGAAAACTGAACCGAATTTAATTTTGGATCCAAATCTCGAAATAACGAAATATACGAACCAAAACTAATTTGTCTGTATTTTACATGTCTACTAATCAACAGCACTGCTTAGGGAACAGGGGCAATGTCATAGATGCCAACTGTCCCAGCTTTGCCAAGACTGTACCACATCTAGGTGCTCTGTCCCAATAATGCTTTGTCCCAAGCTGCATGCTGAGATCACAGCATCACCCATATTTGAGTTACTAATCATTAGGGATGCACTGATACAATTTTTTCTTGACCGAGTAACAGTACCGATACTTTTCCTCAGGTACTCGCCAATACCTATTACTGATACCTTTTTTTAGTGTCATGTGAGAGTTTTTCTAAAACAATGCAGACTAATAATTTTAGGACAGTGGTGGAGCACCAGTGCCCAGTCACAGCTGCATCCGCTGCAACACTGGTAGTTCTGCCACTGACTCCAAACTGTAGAGAGACTACAAATCTCAGCAATACATTATGCAGCAATGAAGAATGGCACCAGCTATAGAGGACTACAAATCTCAGCAATAGATTATGCAGCAAGGCAGAATGGCATCTGCTAGAGAGGACAACAAATCCCAGCAATACATTATACAGCAATGCAAAAAGGCACCGGCTATAGATGAATACAAATCCCAGCATTACATTATACAGCAATGCAGAATACCACCAGCGATAGAGGACTACAAATCCCAGCAATACATTATATGGCAATGTAGAATAGTATAAACCTAAATATTCTGTTGCTCACCAGGGCTGTGCGGCATCTCAGGAGGCTGAGCCGGATCTGACCAGGGTTGTGCGGGGTCTGACTAGGGCTGTAATAGGGTCTTAGGAGGCTGTGCAGGGTTGAACCAGGTCTGTGCGTGATCTCACTAGGGCTGTCCATGGTCTCACCAAGGCTGTGCACAGTCTCAAGAGGATGTATGGGGTCTCAGGAGGGCTGTGTGCAGTCTCACCAGGTTTGCATACAGTCTCACCAGGTTTGCATACAGTCTCACCAGGTCTGCGCGTGGGTCTCACCAGAGCTGTGCGGTCTTACCAGGGCTATGTACATTGTCCCACCAGGGCTGCGTTTGGGTCTCACCAGGGCTGCATGTGGGTCTCACCAAGGCTGTGTTCGGGTCTCACCAGTACTGTGTGTGGGTCTCACCAGGGCTGTGTTCGGGTCTCACTTTGGCTGTGTGCAGCGTCTCACCAGGGCTGCCTGCGGGTTTAACCGGGGCTGGATTTAGGTCTTACCAGGGCTGCATTTGGATCACACCAGGGCTGCATTTGGGTCTCACCTCACCAGGGCTTTGTTTGGGTCTCACCAGGCTGTGTTTGGGTCTCACCAGGGCTGCCTTGGGGTTTAACTTTAACTCATATAGACAAACATGTGTACTGTATATTCATATGATTTAAGATGCATGTGGGCAGCTGCACGTGCTCCTTGTTGATGTTACCTTCATTTTGAATGACTGAAGGCAGAGGTTATTCTATACCTGTG